CAATATGTGCGACACCAAACTCTCAACATGGAGAAATAGCACGAGTAACACCTGGAAACACCTGGACTGGTGCCACTAACACTGAGTTATCAGAGAGAGCTGCGGGGTCAGAGAAGAGGAAAAAGCGGCGGACGAGCGCAGACAAGCAACAACAATTAAGTTTAACTAAAAATAACAAAATCTGATTTTGTTCAATCATAGTCTATATGACTATGCCGTTCTCCGCTGTATGGCGCGCTGTGAGGATAATTAAAATTTAGCCTATTAGTTTAGGCTACTCCTCATTGAGTTTTTTTTAAAGTTTATTTTAAACAGGTCTATTAATTTATACAATTGAATAATAGGCCTATAATTAAAATTATTAACACTGCAGTCATCGATGAAAATTTAAGAGCAGCTTTATTTCGTGCACAGATTTTCAAAAACAACCTGTTTAACGCAAAATACGTTTCTTCTCATGTTTTTCACTATAGGGGCCACAAGAGAAATATTAAGGGAATAATTTAAGACAGATATATACCATCATCAGCATATGTTGAAGTAATTTTGTCTCTTGTTGTCTCAGAGAATATGCGCCGTTAATGCAGCGTTAGAAAGCTCCGTCAGTTTTTAGTCTCTATTGTGAGTTTACTGACGTTCACCGGCGTAACTCTTGCGCACAGTTTGCTTGCTTGTGTTGCTTGACCCCGCCCCCATAATATCAACCGTTTATAGGCCACATATTAGCCATTTTTTTTAATGTTTATTTTTTTTTATGTTAATGAAAGTGACACCAAAAGTAAGGGAACATCATTAGGAAATCATTGGGGGGGCTGTGCCGGGGCTAAGCAAGTTTCTGATGGGCCCCGCCCTAGCGCCGCCACTGATTAGCCTAATTAGTTTTGGCTTGTTTAGCAACTTATATTTTTCATTCTTGTTTTCTTCTGAAACCGTTCAAATTTGCCTATAGGCTAGGTATTGTGTTTATTGTTTGTACATTATAACATTTTGCTTTATTTACCGGTGTTATTTATGAATGTAATAATGTGGTTTCTGCTTATGTGTTTAACCTAAACTACAACGTAACATTAATGTAGACCTACATACCGGCATCTAAATATGATTTTATAATTGTATGCTATATAGACCTACCACATTACCCTCCACTGGGTGTAGAATGAGCAGCAATAAACTACATTTTATCCTGTCTCTTTAAATTTAAATCTATATTTATTCACACCTGCTCTTGAAAATCTCTATGCGAACACACTTGCGTCCCCCGCGTAATCTACGCCCCTGCTTCTGTGGATATTTTGGTGAGAGTAACTCAAAAGTAACTCAAAAGTAGTGTAACGCATTACAATTCAGAGACAGTAATATTGTAATGTAACTAGTTACTTTCAAAAGACAGTAACTAGTAATATATAAGGTATTACATTTTGGAAGTAACTTTCCCAACACTGTATATATACAGTGGGGCAAAAAAGTATTTAGTCAGCCACCAATTGTGCAAGTTCTCCCACTTAAAAAGATGAGAGAGGCCTGTAATTTTCATCATAGGTATACCTCAACTATGAGAGACAAAATGAGAAAAAAAAATCCAGAAAATCACATTGTAGGATTTTTAAAGAATTAATTGGTAAAGTCCTCGGTAAAATAAGTATTTGGTCACCTACAAACAAGCAAGATTTCTGGCCCTCACAGACCTGTAACTTCTTCTTTAAGAGGCTCCTCTGTCCTCCACTCATTACCTGTATTAATGGGTGTATATATGCATGCTGTACAGGAACTTTCCGATGAAGCCACTTTGTTTTGCATTGACTACTTTTTGATATATTTAATGCTTTGTTCTAATTCTGTTGCATTTATTGTCTGTTGGTTTATGCTGCGCTATTCTAGATCACTGTAAGTTTGTTATTGACTCAGTGTGTTGACTCTGTTATTGTTTTATTCTCTGAAAAACCCTTACTGGGCTACTCTTGTTGCTGCAGATTTTCTTTCTCTTCATACTCATTCATATGAATTTTGTATGTAAATAAAATGTGTTGTTATTTGTGTATTTTTGTTTCAATAAGATAACCGCTAAAATTGCACCTGGCCCATGGATGCTACTGAAAAACAAGGTTAGTTTTATATTTAGGGCATATGTCAATCCGTTGCACTTAATTACTTACATGTTTTTCTTTTCTTTGTTTAGGATGTCCCCCAACAGATTGGATGTGGAGTCATGTTGATGGAAAGGCAAATCATGTTTAGCTATAAATAAACTAATGCTAGCTATCCAATTCAACGTATTTACAGTATCAGCTAGTTTTTTCTTCTGGGATCTAAAACACTGGCATTGCCATCTTTCAGCTTTCAGATTCATTTAGCCACATTTTAATTATGGATTTACTTTTTCTTAAATGTTGCTGTTTTTCAGTACGCTCAGGAGAACAATGAAACGGACCTGCAAAATCCCATCAGAAATGTGGAAGAGTCCAGACACCGTTCATATTTCATTTTTAATTCATGGAGACTTTTTTAACTGAATGCCATAGAAAAAAATGGGATTAAAATTTAATTATTATTTTCAAGAGTGAAAATCATTAATATCATAATTGCAAAAGTTAATTGTTTGCTGCTTTTTATATTACAATTACATTTCTGTTTAAGTTTTAAATTATGATTTTAGTTCATGTTGTTGTTGTTGTTGTTGAAATGTTTTTATTTAATTAGCATGTTGCACTTTTTCCATGTTTATTTTGAATTAAAGTATATTTGACATTAAATGTCCATTCTCTGTGTCTAAGTATTTGTTTGTAAAATGTCGTACAGTCAGTAATGTTACATTTGTGAAACGTGTGTGAAACTCTTTATAGAGACCAAACCTGTGTCGTTTCATTGAATTTTCTATGGATTATTGCTTGGCTCAAAAATAATTGAATGTTTCCCAAGTTAACCCGTTTGTATTGTTCGCTTGGGAAAGTTAAACGCCCTTCTGCACAGTCATCCATCAGTCATGTGATTTCAGGTTAAGTCTGCTTGAGAAGAGAAAGCGAAAGTATCTTCTGAGTGAGTCAAACAGACGTGTGAAGAAAGACACTGCACTTCTTGAAGAGGCTTTCTCGTTTAAAATGTCAAATGATGAGAAACGATATGTCACATCTGACAGTAACCTCGGCATTAAGCTCGTGGAAAAGTGCAGCGATATCGGTGAGTTAATTATTTCTAATTATTTAATAGAAATTGGCCTGTCTATTAAATTACTGTTTAGTAAATTATGTAACATCTGTGCTAACATTTCTGTTCTTATTCCATGACCTGAAATACGCATTTCCGTAAATTTGTGTTTTATCATTCTAATGTCTGCAACAATAGTCCACACAGATTCCATTTGATCTAGATATATGATATATATATATATATATATATATATATGACCATCCTCATGTGAGAGACCCCATCCCAAAATGTAAAAGGCAACTGTATAAAAACCCAAATTATACTGTGAAAATTAATATTATAAATGGGTCCAAGTATTATATGGAAAATATTTAGTATAGTATTTAGTAATATAACATTTTATTTGTACTCATTACAGTATACTGTATTTAGTTAATTATTTACTTACTATTTTAATTTGTATTATTCATGTTAATCTAATTTGTATTTATTTTCTTGTTTTAATTTAGTCTTTGGTTATTTATTATAATCAAATTTTGGATTATTTATGTGAATTTGATTAATTTTTTTGTCAGTTAGAATTCTATTATTTGAATCATTTTTTATTTATTTGCTTGTTTTGTTTATACTACTCATAGTACTGTATTTATTTACATATTTATTTTAATAAAATTTGTTATTCGTTTTAATCTCATTTGTATTTATTTGTTTGTTTTAATCTAATTTTTATTTATTTTAATCAAATTTTGGATTATTTATTTGAATATTATCATATGTTATAATTAGATTATTTCAATCCATTTGTTATTTGTTTGTTTATTATACAAATATGTTATTTATCTAACTAAAACTGATTATTTATTTGATTTATTTGATTTTAGTCATATATATATATATATATATATATATATATATATAACCTGCATTGTTAATCCTTTTGATCTTTAATTTAAAAAAATCACAAACATCTAACCTTTCATTGGAGAATAAGAATTGAAAATGGGGGGGAAATATCATTATGAAATACATATTTTCTCTAATTCACGTTGGACACAAGTATTGGCACCCCTAGAAATTCTTATGAGTAAAATATCTGTGAAGTATATTCCCATTCATATTCACAATTTTGAGCACTCCAGGGTGATTATGAACATGACATTATCCAGCCATGGCTTCCGGTTTTACAGGAATATAAATAGGAGGGAAAACAAAGGCCAAATTCCCTTAATCATCATCACAATGAGAAAAACCAAAGAATATATTTCTGAGGTGCAGCAAAAGATAATTGAGCTTCACAAATTAGTGAAGTGGCTTTAAGAAAAGAGCTAGAGCAGTGAAAATTCCCATTTCCTCCATCAGGGCAATAATTAAGAATTTCCAATCAACATAAAATGTTATGAATCTGCCTGGAAGAGGACGTGTGTCTATATCGTCCTAATGCACGCTGAGGAGTAGAGTTTGGTAACACTTTATTTCGATAGTCCACTTTAGACATTCTATTAACTATTAGTAACTTTGTAACTACATGTCAACTAACTCTCAGAGTAGACTGTTAGGGTAGGTTTAGGGTTAGTAGAATAAGTTGACAAAGAAAGTGTTAGAAGATATGACATGTAGTTGCAAAGTTACTTACTGTTACTAGAATGTCTAAAGTGGACTATCGAAATAAAGTGTTACCAAGAGTTTGAGTGGCTAAAGACTCTCCAAAGATCACAGCTGGAGAATTGCAGAAAATAGTTGAGTTTCAGGGTCAGAAAACATTAAAAAATAATTGTCAAACAGCACCTACACCACATGTTGTTTGGGAGGGTTTGAAGAAAAAAAAAAAAGCTCTCATCCAAAAACAATCTCCAGCATATTCAGTTGTCAGACATGACTGGAACTTCAAATGGGACTGGCTTCTATGGCCAGATGAAACTAAAAAAATAGCTTTTTAGCAGCAAACACTCAAGATGGGTTTGGTGCACACAGGGATAAAAAGTACCCCATGTGTACAATGAAATATACTGCTGTATTTTTGATGTTGTGGGCCTATATTTCTGCTGGAGGTCCTGGACATCTTGTTTAGACACATGGCATCTTTGATTCTATCAAATACCAACAGATAAAACATAAAAAAGTGACTGACTCTGTTAGAAATCTTATAATGGGTCATGTTTGGATCTTCCAACCAGACAATAATCCAAACACAAACCTCAAAAACAACACAAAAATGGGTCACTGGACACAAAACCAAGCTTCTGCTCTGGCCATCCCAGTCCTCTGAGCTGCACCCTATAGAAGAAGAGTGGGGTGAACTGAAGAGGAGAAGCTGGGGATCTGAAGGGTCTGGAGAGATTCTGGATGAAGGAATGGTCTCTGATCTCGTGTCAGGTGCTCTCTAACCTCATCAGGCATTATAGGAGGAAACTCAGAGCTGTTAAACTGGCAAAAGGAGGTTTCAAAAAGCATTGAATAAAAGGTTGCCGTTAATTGTGGCCAATGTTGAATAAAAGGTTGCCGTTAATTGTGGCCAATGTGTATTAGAGAAAAACATTTATTATGTACTCTTAATATTTACTCTTCTTTGAAAGAATTGTTAGTCTTTCTGTTCTGTTTATTTTGTAATTGCGAGTGCAACTCCCTGTGTTTTGCTTTATCAGAACAGGGGCGTAGCCATCATAGTCCATAGTTCAGGAAATAAATAAACCACATATCACTCAAACCCCATATTGCAAAGAGACCATGTAAATGAACTGAAATGACAAACATTATCTGTTTCTTTATATATAGATGTAAAATAAATAATTGTGTGGATTAAGTAATTGTTAAATAATTATTAATTGTAATTAAATAATTTAATTTGTCATTTCCGCCAATGATCATATGTTTGTTTTTTGTGTCATTCAAGCACTTTCCAATTAATTTTGTTATTTAACTTAACGGGGCGGTTTCCCGGAAAGGGTTTAAATTAAGTCAAGAGTAGGCTTAATCTAGAATAGTTAATTATGGTTTAAAAAACAGCTGTTTTAAACACAGATTAAGTACAGATTACTAATTCCCCAACTATGGAGTCCTGCACTAAAATAAATTAGATTAATTTAAAACCAACTGTGCTATTCTGAATTGGCACAACAGAGGTTGCCTATAAAACACTGAATGAACCAAGAACATCTTAAAATTGTATGGAACTGAGAAGCAATATTTCTGTGGTGTTTAATACGTGTCATTTCCCCATCAGATCCATGTGATGATGATCCAGATGTTTTAAGAGCTAAATTATCCTGTGGTCACATCACTGGACCACAGACACTTACAGACTACTGCAGAATACAGCTGGATCAGGTAAGTGTATATTAGTCGTTATTAGTACATCAGAAACAGATTTTAGACTTCTCATTTTCAAATATTTTTATTATAAAACAATGTTATGGTATGTATTCAGCTATGGTATCACATATTCCGCATCAAAGGTTCCAAAAGCAGGTTTTCACACCTTTGGTTCCACAAAGAACCTCTCAGTCACCAGTTCTTAAAATAACCTTTTTTTTTTCCTTATTGTAAAAAACATTTTAATAATAAAAATACACTTTTTTCCCTATAAAGAACCTTTTGTTGAATGGAAAGGTTAAACGGACCCCTCTGGTTTTATAAAAAATATCTTCATTTGTATTTCAAAGCTTAAGAAAAGTCTCATGGGTTTGGAACCATATGAGGATGAGTAAATAATGACAGAATTCTCATTTTTGCGTGATCTATCTCTTTAATTGCAGGGTAAAGCTGAGCTGAGATGCCCTGAGTGTAAAGATCTTTGGTCTTACACTGAAGTGCGTAAACTAGCCAAACTCACACCTGAAGAACAGCTATACTTTGAGGAAAGATTTGCCAACAACGCTACTAGAAAGATAACAGACATCAAGAACGTAAGGACATATTCTACACCTTTTTATTCTTAGAAACATCTGTATGGTTCAGTTATTGTTCATGTGCTCTTTCTGTCTCACAGTGTCCTGGTTGTGATTGGTTGATCGAGAGATCAGACTCATCTAATCTCAGCGTGCAGTGCACCGTTTGCTCTGTAAAGAATAAAAAAACCTTTGAGTTCTGCTGGCAGTGTTTGAGAGAATGGAAAGGGCAGCATCCTCGATCTGATCGATGTGACAATGAAGGCTGCTGCAACAGAGATCTGGATCTGCTGAGAGATTGTGCAACTATTATTTTACAAGATGCTGCAAATATTGAATGTCCAGCTGTTCGTGCTTGTACAACATGTGGTTTGCTGCTTAACCACAACACACAGATGTGTAAATCTGTTACATGCTCGAGGTGTAAAACAGTGTTTTGTTTTGTCTGTCTCAAGCTCAAATCTGAATGTGGGAAGACAAGTGGTTTCTATAAACCCTGTTCAGATGGTTTGGCTCCACGACAGACTTCAATTCCATTTTGGAGAGATAAACAATAAATAAATGTATTGTTTTAGAAAAGAATATTGAAAAATCTAATAATTTACAAGTGCTGATACAGTGAAAATGATACAATTGGTACTATTTCTTACACAGTTTATTTTGTTCATGCATTCAGATTAAGCAGATGATCTAAGCAGCACACAAACTCACACACTGTTTCTCTTGCTTATCCTTCTTTCCTTGTTCTTGTGTTTTCTTGATCGTGGACAGTTTCACTGGTTTCTTGATTGTTTACTGCCTGCCCCGACCATTGCCTGTCTTTGGATTACTCTCATCTCGTCTTTGAAGTTGTGTTTTACTGGTGTTTGACCCTGTCTGTGTGGTAGATTTTTATTGGTTAAAAGATGAATTGTTCGAGTGTAATCATTAGTAATATAGCCATTTAAATATCTAGTTATACTTCCATTATAATCCTATATGCCTATGTGTGGAAAATGCCTACGTGGCAAAATGTACAGACCTCAGATGAGAAACATCTGTAAAAACCATAAGTGGGGGGCTTTCTTTAACATAACAAGACTAGAGAGGAGGGGCTTTTCTCTCTAGAGAACTGTATGCACAAAGGAACCATTCTATGTATGGAAAACCCCTTAAAGTCAGAACTGTATAAAAAGAAGACAAGATGATCATTCTGGAGATGTGTTTTCGCTGCAGAGAGAGCCATCTCCGCTTTATTATTTATTATCATTGATGATGTAATAAAGTGTATCTCCTGGCATCAAAAACAAGACTGAGTGTGGTTCCTAAGATGAGAAGCAGAAGACACCACATCTGTTTCTGACAACGCTCTTGTTATAAAAGCTGCATGTGGATCCTAACTCATCCGTTACAGGTGTAAGGTTTACAAGAACAAATTGACATGAAAATATTAAACACAATGTATGTGTTTACAGTCTTAGCCAAGTATGTGATCTCAAGGCACCTGCATTAACACCTTACATTAAACTATTGCTAAAGCAATTTCACAAAAGCTAATTATGTATGTCTATTCAGAGAGTTTACATTTTTTTTTAATAAAACAAATTTTAGGACAAATGAACTATACCATACTAAATATTCAAATGAGTGTTTACGGAGGATGAGAGACATCATTTATAAATATAAAACATGTTATGACTGTTAATGGGTGTTAAATTTTAAAAATCCCTGATTTTACTGTTCATCACAATATTTTAATTGGGCCATGAAAAGATATTCTGAGACCTATAAGCCCCAGTGAGACATCCATTAGTTACACCATTTCTGACAAGATCTCAAAAAATTATTTTAATGTACTTCATGTATTATAAGCCTTCCGAAGCTATAATTTGGCTATACGTGAGGAATAAGTCAAAATGTAATGATAATTATAATACACCCATAAACTTTGTCAAGGACCAGAGTTTATGCTGCTCAGCACTGAGACAATGTTATTGAATATTTGAATATGTAAAAACTAAAATGATCACTGAAGAAAGCCTCTGTGGATGAGATACATAGGTTGTGATTTAATGCGAAATTAAATCATGAAAGGAGTCTGATGATAGCAACTGCTCTGCTTGTAGTGATTTTTCCCCTATTTAATTATTTATGCTAAGCTTTTCAAAACAGGTCTCCAGGTCTGCGTCAGTCACTCTCCTATTCGCTCTCGTCTTGAGTGACCTCAGTGACCAGCTGTGGTTGATAATCTTCAGCCTGTAAGAGAGAGCAAAACAAACCAAACAACAAATGATTACATCATTGATCAATTAAACAATGGACTGAGTATCAAATTAATTACAATTACTTTTTATATTTTACATCATGTGTTTGTTAGTAAATCCTCAACTGTATCACTCATCTGTGATCATTCATCTCAGAAATGTTTAAATGGAAAACCTTTAATCACAAGTCAAGAATTAGATTATCAGACACAGAGTAAGTGATGGTCTCTATGGTGGAGCTTTATGCTACAGTGATGTGTCCAAAAACTTTCTGCTGTAGAGAATTTAAGTGAAATGAATCTAGGTGTCTTCACTTGTTGTCCATCAAAAACACATTTTTACATCCCTTGAGTGTTTCTTAAAAACATCTAAACAGCAGCAAAATACTGACACTCACCACAGTTTCTCCAGTTTACACCGAGGATCTTTTAGTAGATCTGAAAGCTGCTTCACTCCTGAATCTGTAATGTTATTGTTACTCAGGTCCAGTTCTCTGAGATGAGACGGGTTTGATCTCAGAACTGAACTCAGATCAGCACAACCTCTCTCACTAATATAACAAGATCTCAACCTGTGTGTGAGAGGAACAAATTATCCCTTTCAGTGACAGTACAGAGATGAAAGATGCATTTACAGATTGTTTTTTTCTGTTGCTGACATTTTGAAAGAGAACTTGCTTCTTTGAAAGAGAACAATTATGTGTCACATTGAGTTCGCTTATATGAATTTGCATGGTTAATATTGGTAAAGCAAAATTGTTTTAATCTCACTAATTAATAAAATTAATTTTGATGAATTTTGAACAAATTCATTTTGTTTGTTTGTTTATTTATTTACAATATATTTTTTTTGATAGTGCAGCATTTGACTATTGGAAGGTTAATTATTGAGAGCTTCTAGAGCACTTTATTATAATAAATATACTGTAAATGCTAGTAACCGAGGGGATTTGATCTCAGAACAGCAAAACAGAAATTCAGTAAGAAATACAGATATTGCTAGTCTGTCTGCTGAAAAATGATTTTACAACAAATGACCAATTTTACAACATATATACAATACCAGTATTATAATCATACCACAGTTTCTCCAGTTCACACTGATGATGTTTTAGTAGATCTGAAAGCTGCTTCACTCCTGGATCTGTAATGCTATTGTTACTCAGGTCCAGTTCTCTCAGATGAGACGGGTTTGATCTCAGAACTGAACTCAGAACAGCACAACCTCTCTCACTGATACCACAAGATCTCAACCTGCGAGTGTGAAGAAAGAAAAAAAAAAGTTCCATCTTTCTGTTTATTTCCATGTGGCTGAAAAACACTTGAAGTTCACAATAAAATAACTAATACATATGAATGACATTATTAAGTAAGGGATAATGTACATCCAGCTGGTTGTTATCTCAGAATAAGCCCCAACAGGGTGATCAGGTCTTGTATCAGCCTGAAGGGGTTTATTCTGAGATAACAACCGGCTGGATGTACATTATCGCGCTTATTACATGGCTACTTGCCACATAAGTAAATAATTAGACACAAAATATTGATTTGAGTTGAAAATATTTGAACGCAAAGCTTCCGTGAAGACAGCAGTTGCGAGCAAGCAGCAAATTCAAGCTAGACGGACATTTAAGGGAAACGGTGCAGTCAAACCACTCATTACACAACATTTCACCACAAAAATAATTAAGGCAATAAAACAATTAAGACGAAAATTCCGACTGCTGTTACCCGGTGTTAGGGTTATGTTTAGTTTTGTTCTGTTTTCATTGTGTTTTCAGTGTATCTGTTCCCCTGTGACCTAGTTTTACTTTGGCTCCAAATTGTCATTTCGTTCACCTGTGTTATATTAATTAACTCATTAGTTTGCTCCCCTACAAATACTCTGTTTTCTCTTAGTCAGAGTCCGTTCTCGTTTGTGTAATGTTGGTGTACTTGCCTGTCTCCTGGATTTGTTTATTAAAATACCTTTTGTTTATATCCTTCGTCCTCATGTGTGTCCCTCACCAACCCGTAACACCCGGATGAGCCTGTGTTATTAGCTTTTACCGGTTGTTATCGAGGGATAACATACCTCGGAATGTCGCGACTGACCAATCAGAATCAAGTATTCCACAGAGCCGTGTAATGATGATAAATATAAATCAAATAAAGCCACTGACACTCACCACAGTTTCTCCAGTTTACACTCGGGATGTTTTAGTAGATCTGAAAGCTGCTTCACTCCTGAATCTGTAATGTTATTGTTACTCAGGTCCAGTTCTCTCAGATGAGACGGGTTTGAGCTCAGAGCTGAACTCAGATCAGCACAACCTCTGTCACTAATAAAACACGATCTCAACCTGTGAGTGTGAAGAAACACATGTGATATGAACAAATGTTAATGTCCCGTGAGGATCAGAAAAATATGCACTTTTGGGTTTCTACAATAATTAGAGTCAGGCAAGTTATTTACTTCCATCCTTAACCTCTTTATATCTGTTGACGTGTGTTACATGCCCCAGTAAGTGCTGGGCTTGTGTGTTTTTTTTTTTTCTCTCTCAAATTCTCTCGGGCATATTGACCTGCTAAAAACAACCTCCTCCTAAACACATTCACATAATCCAATAGGCTTATTGGAGGCTCTTTCCCCTTCAAACAGTCTTCTAGAACAGCCAAAGGACTCCGGACTTTATGCCCAAAAACTAGTTCATTAGGGCTAAAACCTAAACTAGATTGTGTTACCTTTCTTGCTGCCAAGAGAACCAGTCCCTCCTCCCAGTCACGTCCCAGTTCAGTACAATAAGCACACAACAAAGTCTTCAGGGTCTGATTGAAGTGCTCTAACTTTGCAGATGGTAAGCACTTGACTGTCAATGTTTCACTCATAACTGCTTCAATATCTCAGCAAACATTTTGGAGGTAAAATGTGTTCCCCGGTCACTTTGAATAATTCTTGGGATACCAAAAATGGCAATAAACTGTGAGAGAGCCTTTAGTGGTAATTTTCCGTAATGGAAAAGCTGCTGGATAACGGGTGTTTTGTCACATAACCATTAACAAAAATGTACGCCCTGATTTTGAGGGAGGCAACAGCCCCACACAGTCAAGCTTTGAATTAGTTTATTTGAAAAAATAACTGCATTTGATGATCCATGTCACATGCAGCATAACACGACCAATCACTAACTTGCTTATTTGATTAGTGATAAAGCGCAAAGTATTTATATAAAAATAACCTACAATGATAATTGTAATTTGTTTTGCTCTGCAAGCTAATATACAGCAGACCAAATTGTGAACTGCTATTCACCCAATCACTGAAGTGAAAACTGAAGTGAAACAGACTATAAAAAGTGCAACACTGCAACCTTGATCTGCTTCACACGTCATTGACTATGTAGATCAGCATAAACTTAATCCCATTAGACCAGACAGTCCTGAACTCACCCCAGTTTCTGCAGTTTACACTGAGGATGTTTTAGTAGATCTGAAAGCTGTTTCACTCCTGATTCTGTAAAGTAATTCTTACTCAGGTCCAGTTCTCTCAGATGAGACGGGTTTGATCTCAGAGCTGAACTCAGATCAGCACAACCTTCCTCATTAATACGACAAGATCTCAACCTGTGAGTGTGATAGAAATGGATTGTTAAACCTTTTAGTCAGAATACAGTGAAAATGAGACATCATCAGATAATCACACATAAACATAAATATGTACAGTTATTGCTGGGCTCTTAGGAACACCACCGAGAGATAAGATATGTCATCTGAAAAGTGTCCTAACAAGTCTGTCTGTGTGTGCTTGTAAATGGGGTTCTATTGTCTGTTCATGCTTCCCGTGATCTTGCCCATGTTGACTTCTGAAACAGGAGACAACATTACTAGCCGGGTTTCCATCTAAAGTTGTAAATTTAACTTGTGCACAAAATTGGAATATGGCATAAAACATTTGCAAATAAGCACCGTTTCCATCCAACGAGTCAAAGAGAACAAAATTGTCACTTCCTGATAAACTGGCACTAAATATCACTAAGAAAAGTCAGAGGAGGACACACCATCTAATGCTGGATTCACATATTCTGCATGATCAGTGTGTTTTATTTCTGCTCTCATACACTGAGATTACAGCATTCACACAGAGAGCATGCTGTGTGGAGTGTTACATCTCTTTCACTGAAATAAAACCACCTCACTCATGGATGTGTGAATCCACTACAGATCATCAACACTGCAAACATTGAACTTTGCAGCTGGTATCCAACAAGAACGAGGCCAGAGTGAGTTTAGCTTGATTTTCAGTTCAAAACCTCAAAAAATTATGCAGTTATAGAATAATAGATGTTTAGGATGCTGCAAACAAAACCATCCAATAATTTCACAATTCAGAAAACAAGAAAATAACTGTCTAACTTCATTTTTACCTTTCTTTGAACATGGTAAAATTAAATTAAATTAAATATGAGTGTCACAAACTCGCTCCCTGCCACTCTGTTCTCTCCTGGACTATTGCCTGGACTATTGCCTGTGTTTCTCGGATTACCCCCTTTGACTAGTCCCTCTGGATTGCGTTTGCTGTTGATCGATCCATGCTCGCCTTTGGATTACTCTTTTGTTTTGCCTGTGTTATACCTGTTTGCTGTGTGTTATAATCATGCCTGTTTATCTGACCATGCCTTATCCAAATAAAAGCCAGCATATGGATTTGTACGCCTCATGACCTGGTAACTCCTTAACAATGAGTAAATGAGTTGAGGACAAATTACTTTTACTTCATTTCAAAACACTTTCTTTGTTGGCCATATAAACTCTGAAGTGGACAATTTTTTTAAAATGATGGTCACATTTTGCAGCTTGCTTTGTTTAAATGTATATATTATCTTAAAACAGACAATGATTATATTATAGCTATGACAGTTAAGTTCACTATTTAGTTAAAATGTATAATTTTGCTTTTCATATTTATATAATCTTAGAACTGATAGTTGTTTCTATAACAGCTGTTCACAGTCTCTCTAGAGACCTCTGACATGACAAAACCCACAAACTTTTTTCCCAGACTGATAACATTAAGCCATTACATAATCCAGTAATCACAGGCATTTCACCAACAACAACACAACTCACCACAGTTTCTCCAGTTTACACTGAGGATGTTTTAGTAGATCTGAAATCTGCTTCACTCCTGAATCTGTAAAGTAATTGTCACTCAGGTCCATTTCTCTCAGATGAGACGGGTTTGATCTCAGAGCTGAACTCAGAACAGCACAACTGACCTCACTAATATAACAAGATCTCAACCTGCGAGTGTGAAGAAAGAAAAAAAAGTAGTTCCATCTTTCTGTTTATTTCCATGTGGCTGAAAAAAACATGAAGTTCACAATAAAATAACTAAGAAATATGAACAACATTATTAATAATAAATATAAATCAAATAAAGTCACTGACACTTACCACAGTTTCTCCAGTTTACACCGAGGATATTTTAGTAGATCTGAAAGCTGCTTCACTCCTGAATCTGTAATGCTATTGTCACACAGGTCCAGTTCTCTCAGATGAGACGGGTTTGAACTCAGAGCTGAACTCAGAACAGCACAACCTTCCTCATTAATACCACAAGATCTCAACCTGCGAGTGAAGGGACAGTTATGAATCTTAATAGTTTCTCATTCACAGCTACCAAAAATATTAAAACAACACAACAACAACAAAAATGTACCCCAGTTTCTTCAGTTTACACCGAGAATCTTCGAGTAAAGATGACAGTTTTTCTATTCCTGACTCTGTAATCTCATTCTCACTCAGGTCCAGTTCTCTCAGATGAGACGGGTTTAATCTCAGAGCTGAACTCAGATCAGCACAAGCGTCCTCATTTATATGACATGAACTCAACCTGTCAAAGTCAGAAGACAGAGAGAATCAGATAAAGTCACACTGTTTCAGAGAGCACTCAGACTGTCTGTGTTCACCAGGCACTCACATTTCAGTGCTGTGGTAATTTCCTGATCATATTTAAAAAATGGTTGAAACCTACGTAGCTACTGTCTGTTTTCAGCTTGTTTTCAGTTTTTTTAACAAACATGAAATGGCTAGGTAAAAAAGATGAGTTCTTTACAGTCCAAATGGACAGTTTGAATTGTGTCACAGGGATGGCACCATTACTCCAGAAAGGGTGGGGCAAAATTTGATCATTTAAATTAATATTGATAGCTCTAATTTTATAAAATGTTAAACTAAAAATCATGTGCCACAACAAATGCAATTAGAACATAAATCAAGCAAATATTCTTCAAATTAATTTTATTAAAAAGTAAAGAACTCTCAGTGTTTGCTTCCTTCAATATTAGGGTTAGTTACATTCCACTTATAAAACTAAATTTCTGGATTCTTTTTCTTTTTTTCTTTTCTTTTCTTTTTTTTTTAATGGTTAAAATACATTTTAGTAATCAAAAGCATGTACAATTAATTGAAATCATGACACTTATTCAATTTAACAATTGTATTAAAGGGGTCATATGATGCTATTTTAATTGTTCCTTTCTCTTTGGAGTGTTACAAGCTCTTGGTGCATAAAGAAGATCTGTAAAGTTGCAAAGACTAAAGTCTCAAATCCAAAGAGATATTCTTTATAAAACGCCAACTAGGGATGCAACGATTAACCGCGAGCCGGTTGAAAATCGATTCAAATATGTGACGATTCAAATCGGTTGAGATGCTAAACAAATCACGATTCAGTTAGGGGTAGGAGTTTATATGAATCCATGTCTGAGGGGAACTTACTGTCTTTAGAAAAGTTTAGATGGTATTTTTTCTTTTCCTCTTGCCTCTGTATAATGCATATTAAAGTTTATAAGTGCAGCGCTGCTTTGTTTACAGCGGTAACCAAGGAAAGGCTTTAAGCGCCACCTGCTGGCAGAGAGTGCATCTGCGTCTCGTTCAGCTCGTCTGCTGTTTCTGTTTCATGCAGATATTTTTATGTATAGTTTCACAAAACTAAAGTCAAACCATTCTGTTTTTGCTTCAGATTTCGAAATTATAGAATCTAATTTAGATTAAAAACTGATCATGTTGCATGTATGCAGCATCTTTGTTTGGCTCGTGATTAAAATGCAGGTTGCCTATCATTTTCAATGTTAAGAGCACAGACAAAGCCTTAGTTTGTTTATATGAAGAGATTTATTTTATTTGTGTTACTTATTTATTTGATTTGGGGCTTGTTTTAAAATTTCAATTTAGTTTTGTTATTTACATAATATTTATATTTAAATTTGGTCATTTAGCAGATGCTTTTATCCAAAGCGACTTACAAATGAGGA